AAAGGAAACGAACTAACGAGGTAAGAAATTTCTTTGTGTCCGGTAGTGTGGATATGGAGGAGGAGGAAGTTGGCAAGAACAACGACAAACAACTAAGCTCTCTAATGGAATCCTTGATTAAAAATGATTTGTTTGACCAGGTTGTTGAACTTATTCTTAGAGTTCATCCCTATGTGTCGCAAGAATGCGAGGATTTGTGTTAACGATTGGAGAAAGCTGAAAGAAAGTTGAGAAAACTATTGTTGGCAGGTGGCTTGCCATCGATTGATCCTTCTTTTGCATCAGAGGTGTTCGAGTTTCCATCGAACGTAACTTTGGAAGATCTTCCAAAAATCCGTTTGATTGCTATGTCAGACATATTACGAATGGGTGGTTCGAAGCTTGCACATAGAAACGTACTCTTAGAGGTGCATAATGCAATGAGGTTTCTGGTTAGTGATAATCAGTTGAGGGAGATTGTCGTAAATCTCAGACAATTGTACAAGGAGGCAGGAGAAGAGTTAATGAATGTTGTGTTTAAGGATAATTTTCCAAATCAGTGTGATGAAGAACTGGCATAGGACATGATTACGCATTACAAGGAACAATTGTATAACCTCAGGATTTTGTTAGCAAGTGTCATTGATGATTATTCGCAGGTGCGGTTTATGAAGGAGATGGGGCGTGTAAAAAATAATTGAATGATCTCGCAATTATAAATAAGAAACATAAGAGAAGATTGTCTGAGGTGGTGCTTTCATTAGTTGAAGCTTTAAGGCGTCGATGTCCAAATTGCCTTAAGCCATTTGAGAAAAGGGGACTACATAAAATAAATGATTTGACGATGGTTACACATAGGTGTGACAACAGAACAAACCTTTATCCTCATGGAGCTGGTGTTGTTGATGAGCACGAGGAGCTCGCAGTGGAAGAAAGTATGAGGCAACTTGGTGGACAGGATGATGTAAGTGAATAGTGTGATTTATCTTTGTCGTCGAGTATACGGTAAGTTATATTGGAGTGACAAAAGTAGAAGGAGAGGGAATAACTAGAGTGCGAGGGAGCATGAGGATGTGGAGTAGGATAACAGAGAGGAATGCATGGTTTCACATTTTTTTTCATTCCATTAATGATGATGACACTTGAAGGGGTTTATGATAAGACGCTTAATTTTTTTGTCTTTTATCACATTTATTTGAGTATTCTYTYTWTTTYTYTYTTTKTYTYTYTTTTTKYTCCCCCCCCCCCCCCYCYCCCCCCYCYCTCTCTCTCTTTCTCTTTTTTTTTTTTTCKAYATTTCYTTYTTKACAACTWTTATTKKTWTTKGYAAAWAAYWTTATTKTTGTATAKAAATAAAGGCTGCTTTAGTCGGTTGTTGATATGTTATCTTATGTTGTATTTGTTTATTCTCATGGAGATGGTGTCATTTTTTAGATATTAACATTTGCTAAATTTTGTTTTTCAATATTTGCAAGGAATATGAGTGTGAACGATATACAGAAAACCAAGTTGTGAAATCACACAGATGTCCAAGTAGTCGTGTCCAAGCAGAGAGTACAAATGCACCGAGAAAACTATCCATATAGAGCAATACAATGAAGTAATGAGTCAATGTTCAATCCTGTCCCATCTTCTCGTCCGTGGTATTTCCCCTTGTGCGTACTCAAGGAGGGACGTTTCTTTTATGTACGTGGTGTGAAAAACTGTTTTCTGCAACCGCGCGATTTTTTGTGCAAGGCTGCTTCGGGAATTGAATCGGGAGGGCCGGCGGGATCACATGGGTGCTCTTGTTTTTCTTGCTTTTTTGAATCGAGGCCAGTGTGATCTTGTGACGATTGGTCGCTGGTCACGCCTTAGCGAGCGGGAAAGATAACTGTTGCCATAACTTCTTTCTTGTTCTGCTGTGGGAAATGAGAATTTTGGCCCCGTTGTCACGCGGGAAAATCTTTTTGAATTTTCAACTGAGGTCGAGCGCCCATGGGCTTGTGGAATTTGCTTCGTTTAAAATTTTTTTTTGCAATTAGGATTTAGATTAAGAATTTAGGCGCGTCTCAATTTTTGTTGCACGACATTTCTTGCTTGCGCACGCTTTGCCGCGTCAGGATCTGTGTTCTGACTTTTCTGCGCCTTAATCTTTGTGCGTAACTGTGACTTTTGTTTTGGCGGGCATAAGTGCAACTGTAATCGTCCTGTTCCTGATGTGCTTTGTGGCGTCCTGTGCACGAGTACTTCTTCCTATGTCCTATTGGCCTGAACGCTTGCATGACTGGATCGATGTGTGGAATGAGGCTACGCCCCCCACGCCGCGGTCTGGCCATGCAGACGTAGGCACTTCCTTCCTCCTCCTTTTTCCACTTAGGCACAACCCCGGGTCTCTCGTGCAAGCGTGCATGCTATAAATTTCGCAAGCGCGATTAACTCCCTCTCTAAGAATTATGGGAGTTAGTGCGGTCGAGAGGATCGGCTAACGAGCGAGATTTGGAAGGTGAGTAGAGAGTTGGGCGATTCGACGAGCTGGTGCTGGGCATGCGGGGTTGACGTGGGGCCGCGACAGACTGTGGCGCACGGGCGAACCTGGCTCCCATGTTCAGACTAAGCGGGGTGACAACTTTGTGTGGGTGCGAGACGACGGACTGCCCGCATCAGGATGTTGTGAAGAGAGAGAGAGAGAGAGAGGGAAACAGCGAGACGAGATGTGTTGTGGCGATATTTCTCTTCCATCCTTTGAACAATTTTGGTATTCGGCGCCAGTCGCCTTGTCCTTCTTTTTTATCGGCATCTCGGATTTTTCGTTTTCCTTGCTTCCTTTCTTCGGAGACTGGAATGTGGATTGTTTTTCCCCACTCCTCGTCTCTGTCTTTTTGAATCAGAAAATCTCATTGATTGGTTGCCGGTGATCGAGCCTTGTGTGATCTCTGGGCAAATTGGCCAAAGAATTGTTGCATGATCCTCGATTCTTTTTGTTTGTATGTAAGCTAGATGCATGGATGATAGGCGTGATTATGTCTGTGTATGAATTAGACAAGCATGCTAGACGATTAGATGACCGTCTCACTATAGGATGACCCATCAACCACTGGCTTTCACCCATTTGATTGAAGGATAGGCCCCGCGCACGCACGTGTAGGCTCGACCAAAGACGATCGCTGCCTACACGAGCGTCTGCGAAACCTGGACTTGACTAATTTCCCGAATGGCTGGTGTTCCACCCCGACTTGCAACATGAATTTCGACGTTCCCTTTCGTGTCACTGAACGCGAGTATTTGAGGGATCGGGAATTCCGGGAATATTGGGAGAGCACTTTTGTTTGTCTGCACGACCCTAGGCGGAACCTCCGGAATTTCCCTACTTGATGGGGAACGAACGTATTTGCGAGTGGGACCTCGACCAGGCCTTGGGACGTCATCCCCATCTTCCCAGCTACTCCAGCCCATACACGTGTCACGTCCTCATGGGGCCCGGAATCATTATCTTAAGGACCAAATTCCCTCCCTATCACTGCATCCTACTCTACCACTCCCTAACCATCGTCCCCTGGCTCGCAATGACTCCTTACTGGCCCTAACCCCCGTGCTTAGAGTGTCTGCGGAACCACGAGTACTGAGCTTCCAGCTTCATCCGACGAACTCGTTCGGAGGAAGAATGACGGGCGCACAATCTTCGATTGAGGCCATACGCGTCAGATTTGGAGACTTGCGACATTCGACGTCGGCAGGTGACGAATCAGCGGGATACCCATAGCGTCCCGATAGTGCACCAGATACGACCCCGACCCGGACGACGGAACCAACGGAGGAGGTAGCTCTGTCCCCCAAAGCTAAACAGAACTTCAGTCCACGCTTACTCTCCTGCATTCGTATCCCGGAGCTTGCCACAAGAGATCTCAGTTCCGACTTGGGACTCCACCCCCACTTTCCTAAAATCCTTGGCACACCCCCTTTTTCGCACTTCCAGGACCACTCACACTCCGATCAGGAAGTCGCGCCGGGCATGAGGTTAGGGCATCACAATGGTCCCTCCCCTCTCTCTCACATGTGTGGTGTATGATGGGGTGTCACATTAGTATCTGGTAGGTCAGGTCATATCTTTGAGTCTTGCGTTGCGCTACGTTGTGCTATTTTCGTATGAATCTGGATGTACATTGCTTGTTGATGCTTTGTTGACACTGCATTGTTCATTCGAGTCCTTTTCATCACCTAGCGGATCCTTGGCTCCATATACATCGCTCGATTGAGCATGTATCATCCCCATACCCCTTTTTGTTCACCTTAATCAGGGTGCCCAATAAGATTGTGGCATCATCCATTTCATCAACCTTTAGTGGTGTTTTTAGCCAGCATTTTGTATACCACCATCAATTTATTATTATTTTTTAATTATTATCATTATTTTTTAATGGGAACAAATAGGTCTACAATTTCTTACATTTGATTTGTCCATTTTGTTGTGAAGCAAAGTGAGAATCCTTGGAATTACAAATTCCCCCATCTTGCTTGATTCCACAAACGGCTTCAAAATATATCATTAAATCAATGGATAAAGTCGACCACATGGTTTCCCAAAATTCTTTGGATAAACCATCTACTCCTGGGGTTTTATCCTCCTCCATGTGCATCAATGCTGTCCATATTTCCTCTTTTGATAAGGGTCTCTGTAAGTGGTCACATTGTTCTTGATTTGTTGCTTGTCTCAAGGGTTCGAGAAAGAGTCGGGTGGCGTGGTCATCCTCATGATGCAGGGTGGGGTTCTTGGAAGGTAGAAAAAGTCTTTTGAAAAAGTCATATCCAACCTTTAGGTGTAGCAGGATCTGAAGATACCGCAGGGTCGAAGAGTCTTTCTATGCTTTAACGTTTTGCTCGAGAATGAGCCAAGGCAAAAAAGGATGCGTCCACTTGTCCTTCGGAAGAAAATTTGGATAGTTTCCCTCCGATCAGTTGTCCCTTCCAACATTGTTGAGCAAAGGGTAAAAGTTGGTACCTTAACATGCTCATTCTTCAAATTTTCTTTTGTCCTTGTGCAGGTTCTTTGAATTGTGGTGTCTTTGCTCACCTGCTGGGGACCGCACACCATTCGTTGGTAAGTAAGGCCTGGATCCCACAGCTTTCCGCCCAGCCTTTGGAAGAGATCTTTTGAGATTCAACTGCACCTCAAATTGTTCTGTATAATTCCATAAGTGGCACTGGGCCTGGTTCCCGGCACGTGCGGCTCCCCACAAAAAGATTCAAGCATTGCTAGGGAAGAAAAGGGAAAAGGAAAAAAACCGAGGCCGCCAGAGTGGCCCGGGACCACTTGCCCAGCCGGGCCAAAAAAGTAAAAATGAAAAAATATATATTTTTTAATTTTCAATTTTGTTTTGTAAAGAATTTTGATGTGACCCTGAGGCAAAAGTTGTTCAGTTTATGTTTCTGCATAACATAGTTTTTCTGCGGATTTTTTTACCCTTGCACCACCGGGCCGCCCGGGAAAATAGGGTGACCCGGGCGGCCCGGCTGGTAGCCTAGCAAAAAACCCAAAAAAGCAAAGCCGCAATCTTTCGGAAAAAACAAGGATTTCTGTCCAGTGTAGTCTTTCCAAAGTGTGCCGTAGCCAAGGGTAGGCTGGGGGCTACCCTCTTGTATGCACCATTCTGTGCCAAGAGGGCACACTGGAATAGGATGAAGAGTAGGAAAAACCGACGTCGATTGGGTAACTTTTAGCTAGGAAGCGGCCGAAAATTCTTGTCACGGTGGGGTCTCCTGTCTCTTTTGGTGACACTGTATTGTTTTGAAAGGCCTTCCAGTTGCCAAGCAACTGCTGTGCAGTGGGGTCCAGGCCTAGGTTTGTATCAAACAGCCAAAAATGAACGTTGGGAACCAAATGTGTAATGTAGAAGAAAGGCAAAACTGAATGTTGTTTGCTCAGCTTGTTTGTGACTCTTGAAAGGTCTCGGAGGTTGATTCTTCTTTTTTTCATGATAACTGACCGGACGTCAGGACCGGGTTCTGGACAGTCCGGAACAACATGTCCGGGTCCGGTGTCCGGTCCTTATGTCCGGATGGAGGCCCCCGGGTCAAAAATGGAAAAAATTAAAGGGGCAGCCCAGGACGTTTTCTGGGTCCTGGCTGCCCCTTGAAAAATCATTGGGTGATTTTTCAGTGTCTTTTCACCCCACCAGACAGGGCCTAGAGGTCCAGACACAAGACACTGCAGGTTCTTGGGGTGTCGGGTTTCACACAAGCCCCAGCAATTTCAAAGCAGTCGTTTCGACGTGCCGCCCCCCGCTGCTGCCAGTTGCCCCGCGCGCGCGCGCGCGAGCGAGCGAGCGAGCGAGAGAGAGAGAGAGAGAGAGAGAGAGAGAGAGAGAGAGAGAGAGAGAGAGAGAGAGAGAGAGAGAGAGCACTGACAGTGCTGCCTGAAGACTCTGACGTTCTGAATTGAAGTGCAAAGTTCAAACTTATAAGTTATATGAAGTTATGAACTTAAAATTACTTAATTGAAACTTGAAAGTTCAATACGTCAAAGTTAGTCATACTTTTTTCAATTGTTTTTTCTCTGTTTCTTTAGTCTTGTGCCTGCTTTGCACTGTTTGCAACTCTGCATGTCTGCTAGTTGTATGTGCGTGTTGATTTGCTGCAAGACAGGTGCTCTGCTGCCTAAACTACGAAGTGCAAAGCCCTGCCCCCMCCCCCCAACCCCCCTTCCCGTTTTTTTTTTTTTTGGTCCGCACATTTTGTACCCCCTGACACGGGTCCGAACTGTCCGGGTCCGGTGATGTCCGGGTCACCGGACGGTCCGGACAGGTCCAGACACTGGTCCGGAAGACAGTCGGGGAGTGTCCGGTGTCTGGGTCTGCGGTTACCATGCCTTTTTTCTTTCTTTTTTGGGTCATTTCTGAACTTATGCGATTCAGGGCCTCGCCACACCACTCCCGAGTTTGGAAAATTTTCGGGAGTGCTCCCGAAAGTGAAAACCTGCTCGAGAGTGCCTTTCGCCACACTACGCTCTCGACCGGGCCGCACTCCATGTCTGAAAATGTCAGTTGCCACATTGGGACCGGGCCGCACTCCAAGTCTGAAAATGTCAGTTGCCACATTGGGACACGATCGGTGTCAAGCAGTCTGGCAGAAGTCCGTTCCCTTCCAGCTCCAGTCCCGAATCTGGGATGAAACTCGGAGGAGGGAAGGTCTCTCGAAAAGGCAGGAGTGCTCTCCGGAACTTTGACAGTATTTGAAATTGAAGAAATTATCTACGGGAATACTCACTAGGACTGTTTAGACTGTCTGCCTGAGACTGGGATCAGATACTCGCATACACTACCCGTAGGATCTTTTTACTGCGGTGTCTGAAAAGCTAGGCCACCAGAATGGCCCGGGCCCACTAGACAGGCCGGGCTAAAAAAAAAGAAAAAAAAAAGATTTTTCATTTGGTAAGGAATTATGTTTTGGCCCCAAGGCAGAAGTTGTTCAGTCCTGGCCGGGCCACCCTGTCAACCGAGGTGATCCAGTGTGGCCCAGTTCGTAGCTTAGCTGAAAAGTGGATTTGCTCCTCAGCCGAGTCACACAGCTGGATGAGACACGGTGGCAATGTTCTGCCACTTGTGGATTTTTGTTACATTGTAATCATACGGCAACTGGCGCTAATCTTTTCCTCTGTTTTTTGGGTATTTCCTGTTTCCCTCTACCTGCCTTCCATTTGTTTCTGCCAGTGGATGCGTTTTTTAATGGAAAGAATTCCTTCCTTTCCTCTCTGAAAAACCGCAAAAAAAAAGGCATTTCCCATAAAAGGCATTTGTCATTGCCCCGGGAGGTGATGTCCAAATTCCTAAATCCGCAGCTCAGCAGGTCTCAAACCTTGGAAGCAATCATGGTGCTGTCTCCCTTGGTATTAGAAAAAAACCTTGCATCCAGAGGGTGACTGGCAAATTCCAAAATCCAACCCAACCCATGTGGCTGAACAGTAGGGCCATGAACAGGCCTATGTGCGAACCCAGATGCAATCGGGTGTTAAAAAAAAAAAAGGTTCCTGAATCCAGCATCTCAGCAGGCATCAAACCTTGGGACTTACAATCCGACTTTGGTCGTTGAGGGGGCACTGGGTGACCGCAAAAGCGTCGCAAAATTTTGCAAAAAAGGGTGCTAGTGTGACTATTCCCTAAGTGTTTGAGTATGTGCCCCCTGCTGTTCTCATAGTCCATTTCGTGAGTCAAGCTGTACTTGCAATGGCTTTTGTGGAAGACACTCTCAGCGGGAATAATTGGTGGAAACCGCGCATGCAAAAACCTTTTTGGTTTTTCGCACCCGAAATTTTCCCGTTTGGCAAGAAAGGCCGATCGGAAAATGCATCTGGTCCAAGTAGAGCGCCAGGTTCATAATCCGGTAGGAAGAGGCCAAGAGGTTGGGACCCAAATCTCGGCCACCCGATTTTTACATCCGACCGCCTGGATTGCCCGTGGGCCCTTCTTGCCAAACGAAAAACGTTTGGGGACGCAGATCTCAATCTCCTGATCTGAGTGGTATAATTGTGGCTCGCTGCGTATATCAGTGGGGTCTTCCTTGAGGGCTGGAGCCTCCCCCCGTGAGGGTTTCACAAGGTGGGAGGTGTTATTCTTTGAGGGGGGAGGCGGTATTGGGGGTTTGTCGCCTCTTAGCCAGACTGATTTAGGGTCGGATCAGTACTCGCGGGTGGGGAGAGAAGGCAAGGGGGTGGCTGCTTATAGCAGAGGGTAAGGATTCTGTTTTTGAGGGAAGGAGTGACTTCGATGGCTACACAGTGAGCCGAAAGGGGGGGGGAAGCTAGATTTGAAGGAAGGAAGGTAGCAAGGGGATTTTCAACAGAAAGGGATGTTCGTTAGGGTAAGTAGGCTAGAAGGACGAGGCTGGGGCGACACAGTCCGGTGCTGGAGCCTCTGCTCTGTAACCCAGGGGGAGCTTGAGGCCTATGAAGTTATGCCGAGGGTGGAAGGCATAACCAGATCGTCCGACGTAGTTGGCGCCGGGGTTTTGACCCTGTAACCTGCGAGGGGCTTGCCGCTAAAGGAATTATCGAGGGAGGAAGGCACTTCCTGTCCGTTAGAGCTAGGTTGATCGGTACTGGGGAAGGTTGTGGTGCCCTCTTACCCTAGCAGAAGGGGGTATGAGATCAAGTGAGTTCTGGTACGAGGACTGGAAGCCTGGATTGACGCCCCATCTGAAGGGGAATCTACGATAGTAGGCAGATTAAGTCTTGCCCCCCCGCTCTTATATTTCTCTTAAGTTTTTCGAATGTCCCAAAAAGAGTTGGGTGTTTAGTGGTCCTGGGAATGTTTTTTAGGACTCTGGGATCCCTACTAACTCGTCTTAGGTGGTTTCAATGCTGTTATACTCAGTGATCTGCGGTTGTTCGATGCCAGAACGACGCTGACCGGTGCCGGGGTGTTGCCTTGTAACCTGCGATGCAGGAGCGTGAGGTCTGGTAGAGAGATCTGGGGATGTCCTGGGGTGGGCGTTATCGAGTGCATCGGTCTGGCACCGCACGGGGCAGCGCGGGACCCTCCTGGCCGCATCACACAGGAGTTGGACTAAATCCTCGTCGCGAATATACATGGAGCTTCCGCAAGCCGCTCCGACCGAGTGCGCCAGCCATACCTCTCGCGAGCCCCTACGACAGGATAGGGCCTACGCAAGGCACGACTTACCTCCACCTTACGGGAGCTGTCACCTCCCTACGGTTGGCGTATCCCCGCCGAGCTACCAGTCCACAGTACGCAAGCTGATCAACTGCAATCGCAGAGGTGGACCAGCCGAGGGCGTTTCTCGTACGCTGTAGCATAGGGGGTACACGTGGTAGTACGCCTCTATCGGACCCGCACGCGAACCGACATCTTGGGGGGCTGAGGTCCCAAGCGCGACCCGCCGTCGGTCGACTAGGACGTATCCCACACTCCATGCGCACACCACTATAAAGAACATAAGAATAAATATACACGCGCATACGCACACACGTACACGAAACGACATAAAATAAACAACGCGACAACGCTCCTAGTCCCTTAGTAGCCATCCCATAACTTTCCGTCGTAGAAATCGGATAGGTGTCGCGCGTGAAACTTAGTATAAAACCGCGCGGCCGCATGGCTTACTCATATCGACTAGCAATGCATTAATACGCAGGCAGTCACGAAGATGGCGTACTATGTAGTGCCCATAATCAAGCGGTTCCTCGTGGATCCGAGTACCGCTTATGACACTCAAGTGTCAGACTCGAAGTGTCGTGAGGGTATACTCCCTCACGACATTGCACGACTGAAGGAATAGCCGTGCAGCCACCGCGAGACCTCCGACCTTTGGCCTGAACGTCTCAGCAGGCAAGGCAAATAGGCTCTGCACGGGGGCAGATTCCTTCCCTACAGTGTCTAGGGCTTGGGATGTCCTGGACAAGGACCTCGAATCCCGGCCAGGACCAACGTCCGATTAATAATTTATTTAAAAAATACACAATCAATGGAGGGGTCTTTCCCCCTTTTCTCAACCTCAACCCCTATTTAATTCCTAATACGCGGGCCCCTCAGGCCACGCGAACTCCCAACATAGGTACACATACATAACTCCGACGAAACAGTTTGTCACAGCCCCTCGTTTGTTGTCCTCTTCTCCCTCTCTGCCTATGGTTTACCGGGCAGTTCTATTTGACGATATATATATATTCTATTTGACGATATATATATTTATAAAGGGGAATAAGTACGTGATAATCACTTCTCACAATCACAATGGGGTTCCTCACAGCCATATATATATGTGTGATCGTAGGTAGACCAATCCAAATCCGAACCACCATACATATCTGCAATCACATCAAAGAGTCAAACAAAAGTCCACACACTACACGGAGTCAACTCCA